GGCACCCGGGGCTGCCTGCAGGGCGAGGAGCCCACGGCCAGCGAGCCCGCTCTCACACACCGCGCTGCGGCGTACGGCCAGCCCGAAAGCAAGCGGATGTCCTAAAGGACAAAGCCATTTATTTTATCCTTTCTCCCTAAAACCGGTACGGAGAGGCGACAGTCCGTCCGTCCGTCCCTCAGGGTGACCGAGTTTCTTCAGGGCCCGGCGCTGCCTCGGCCAGGCGGGTGTCCGCTGCCCGGGACAGCCGTTCGCCCATTTGTGCTGGGTGCGCAAAGGGTAGCACAGATCAGACAACATCAGGTCCATCGCTGAGCGGTACCTTGGTAAGGGAGAAGCGGATGCAAATTTATCCTTCAACCATATCACAACCTCACAAGATTCCCTGCAGTTTAATTGGTTTTATCCCTTTTTTAAACTCATAGTAAACACATCGTAAACCGAAAAAAATACCTGGAAGTTTGCCACACGAGGAATATCAAGATTCCTGCACAGGATGAGGGTAGTAAACTCAGAAGCAACTATGTGATTTAGGAAGTCACTTCCGAGGGGTGTGCGGGTGCTTGTTTTCCAATGGTAGGAGAGGGACTGGGAAGTCCATTAGGTTGAAGGGCCAAGACTCTGGTGACTGGGGTCAAGTTGTGCCAGGGCAGGGTGAGGTTGGGCCTGCCCGGGGGTGGCGGCCTGCCCTGGGCGGGCGCCTGGGCTGCCGTGGTCTGGAAGTGACCGAAACCAGGGCGCTGGGGTGGGCAGCGACCCACGGAGCGGGCTGCCCGGGCAGGCCGGGATCCCTCACACCGAAGTGTTTTGAACACAAATGCGGCAGAGCAGGAGCAGTTGGGATTCAGCCTTGGCCAGGCGGATGGGCTGGGTGGCCCCAGGCCCCCTTGGCACCTGGGCAGTCGTGGAGTCAAAGTGTCCCGGTACCTCTGGTGTGGCTCCGGGCCGCTAAAATGGGTTTTTCTTCAGGGTAAGCACTCAGTAGCATGAGGCCTGAATTTTAAAACTGTTTAATTATTTTGGTACGAGCTTGCATATGGCTCTCTTGCCGAAGAACTAGTGAAATTACACGTTGCGCAAAGCCAGGGAGTGAAAACTGAGCAAATGGGATTTTGTATATAAACACTATTTGGAATGTTGCCTTAAAATGTTTAACTTCAGTGGTTGACTAACACTCGCATTAGAAGTAATCTTTGACAAATAATCAACACTACCCGCCTCTCAAGATGGCCTAGGTTTACACTAACAAGTTCTGTAGACGCAATTTCTTAGGGGCAAGTTATTTATTTTACAGTGTTTTGCTGATAGAACTAACCTAGCACAAATATGGCTTAGAGGCAGAAAGTATGACTTCACTGATACTGTTTAATTTGCTTGCCAAAGTGGTATAATCTGCACAGGCATTTCTGTTGGTAGAGCTGTCTGTGCGAGGAGGCTGCTCCGGCAGTGTACAGCCGTGCTGGGAAACCTTTTAAGTGCAGATAAGTCTCCAGAAGCTGATGACACGCCCTGTCGTTTACCGAAGGCGCTACTGCAGTGTTTCTCTTCTGTGTGATCCTTTGGAATTCATTTGTACTCCAGGAGGAGCATTATTAAGGGATGGACTTCTTTTTTTTTTTTTCCTCTCTTTTTCTTTTCCCGCCACCCTGACTTAAAATCACCAGCTTGCTCCGCGTTCAGCACCCTCCAAGGCGTTTCCATTGTGGAAGCATCCAAAATACTGTCCCAGAAACATGAATGTAGAAGTGCAGGTAATGGAGGCGAGAGCCATGTCTGCAAGTGCCTGCAGGCTGCTATCTGTGTGACCGCGTATTTGCTAGGTTTGAAGGGGTACAGATATGAGCTTCTTAAAGAAATAAGCTGGAAACTGGCAATTCTTAATGAGTTACCAGAACAGCCCTTGAACCCGCAACGCTGTCCCCATGCCCTAAAGCAGCACAAGACTGGTGCTACCGCTGCCACCTTCTCCTTTTTTACAGTGGAGAATTTCTTTAGCCTGAGCAATAAGACACCCGAAAAGCCTTCCAGCACCCCCAAAACCCTCTCTCTGCCCTTACCTGGCAAGGAAATGGAAGACTAAATACAGATGCGGTCAAGGTGGGGCGGTGTGGCTGACAGCACATTGACTGCACCCTGAGAATTTGCAAGGCAGTGGATTATTGGGATAAATTTAGGGATAATAGTCAGCCTTTCTATGTGCTAATCCTCTCTGCTACTGACTCCTTCTGTGGCTTTTGTAACCCACCTCAGCTCTCTTACTGCTCAGCTTTCCCCTTTGAGAAATAGCGTTTACCTTGTACTGGTGAAGTAGGTGAATCAGCTTTAATTAAGATTTGTCGAGCACTTTGTTGATAAGTTCCCTGTAAAGCTAGTTATTATTTTTTATTAACACGCAGATATTCTTAGCACCCAAAGTGAAAAATGACACAACACTGGGGATCTTCTGGGAAACAGCCCTGTGAAAGGAGACGGCGCGTGCTAACGAAGGCTTTGTCAAATCTCTTCTGGCTGTGGTTCACGAGGCAGTTTGCTCCCAAGGCTCTGACTCAAAAAAAAAAAAAAAAAATAAAAAAAAAAAAAATCCTCTCAAGTCCCTGGGAAATCTTAAATGTTCCTGGAAGTTAAGCCTTGCTTTTGCATAAGATGTGTAGATCTTGCCCCCTTGCTGGATTTCTCACAGAGCCTTCAGTCGGGGTTTGGCGCAGCTGTGTGCGTGCTTGGCATCAGCTGCACAGGCACAGCTGCTCTCGCCTGCTTTGAAACACCTTGTTTCAATGATTTCAATTGCTTTCAGCAATCATTGCCTCAAATTACCCTGTTTGGGGTAGGGCGGGCTTCCCCGCTCAGCTGGGTACAAGCTGATGCAGAGGTCGGTGGGGCTTTTGGGGGGTAAGAGGGGAGGAGGGAAGCCTTGCCCATCCTCAGGGGCAGCCCAGCTCAGCATCCCTCACCCTGCAGCGTGTGGGAAGGCAGCCCACGCCGCCAAAGTAGCTTGGTGGCAAATTGAGCTTGAAGAGGTTCGTTTATGAAAGGTAATGGAGACGTGAATTGAAACGGTTACGGCTGTGCTTGTTCTTGCATTGCTGTGTGGGTGCCCTTTCGGCAGGATGAGGAGCTCTATTGTATTTTGGGGAAGAGAAGGCTGTTAATTTAGCTCTAAGATGTCACTGCCGTAGCGGTGTAGGAGCGGCCAGATGGAGGATGCTAAAATGAAATGCAGGGCTGGAAAAGCCTCCTTGTCCGTGCCTTTGTCCTGAGTCCAGGTGAGAAAGACTCGGCTCCAGACTAGGGAGCGGTGGATGTTCACGCAGATCTGGATCGGGGGCAAGTTTGCTCTGGGACTTGATGAAATCCCAGTCTCAGAGAGCCTGATACCTCGTCTAACTCTCCTGTGCAGCAAATTAAGCGGGCCGCTGTGTCTCTTGCCTTCAGAGAACGGGGAGCCCGGCAGACGGTTGTCCTTCTCGCAAGCAGCTGTTAAATGCTGAGAGCTGATAATGACCCTGGAGGGATGGAGAAACCCTGCAACAGCTGCTGCGGGGCTGCCTGTTTTACACCGCTGACTGCTCCGCTTGTTGCCCAGATCCTCCGGTTTCTCTGCGACTTTCTTAGGGGTTGTAACCAGCACTGAGCACGGCCTTCCAGCCCAGAATTAGGAATTTCGTGTTCTTAAATCACAGGATGATGTTTAGCTCTTTGCAGCTGGAGCTGTGGTGTCACAACGCTGACGCATGTTGCATTTTTAGTCCAGTCCCTCATTTTCCTCAGCATTACCTCTGCCTAGAGAGCTTTCCCCCATGCTGTAGTTGTGTGCTTGATCTCTGGTTTTGCTGTTTCCAAGTGCGGTTCTTTGCATTGTTTTCCTCGCTTTTCTTTTTATTGATTCGTGGGTGGTTTTGGAACTTTTCTTCAGTTTTATCAATTCTGATCGTGACCTCCAGAGTGCTTCCAGCTCTTAACTTCTGAGCATCCTTTCAGGTTTTATAAAAATACTTTTTCTTTGTTCAGGCTATTATTGAAAAGGATGAATAGAAGCAGACTTGGACTGAGCTCCAAGGGCTCATATGTGAGGTTTTTTCCTATTGTGACAGGGAATCGTTGATAGCTACCCCTAAAGTGTGTGTGTGTGAGTTTTGTTTTTTGTTTTTTTCTTAATCAGTAATGAGCACTGTGCCTTGTTAAGGTGAGCTCGCCTAGTCCGACTTCCTCTGGTTTGCCTGAGAGCATTGGATGGATGGAGTGAAAAGCCTGCTTAATGCCCTTGTGGTGGTCAGAGGTGCGATGAGCAGATCTCTGTAGAGGGGGAGTTGGGCCCCATTTCTGAAGACTTGGGTGATTTTTCAGGAGCTCTCATGAACCTCCTTTAACTGGGGCTTTTCGCTGGCGTTCGCTAGGACCAGCATCGCTCAGAGGCAATCCTCCAGCCTTGCTTTCCCCCCCGAGAGCTCCCTGGGTGTTTCTGCTCCCGTAGCAGAGGGGTATACATGGGGGGAATTTGTGTCTGTGGTGTCCTGCTCCCCTTTCGTTCTCTGCAGGTTTGTCCTCAGTGAGAGTTAGGCTTGTCTGTATGTGACTGAGGTAGTAAAAATACATTTTTCTCCTCAAGCAATTCAGAATTCCTTGTGTGGTTGCTCTGCTCTGGAAAAAAAAAATGACTTGCTCTGGAAAAATTAATTGCGCTCTTTTTTATCCCTGAATAGGGTGTTGCTGTGGGAGCAGTTGCAGGATACCTCGTCTCACCAGGGCTTTGCCTGTCACCTTCTCAGCACGAGCTACGCTTGAGGAAGAGGAGTTACTTTAACTGAAATACATTTAACTGGAGAAAACATCACTGTCCAAACAGGACCAGCTCTAACCGCCTCTGAGATCTGTAAGTGCTGAGCTGCTGTGTTCAGCTTTTTGAATTTTAAGAGGTTGATCTTTTTCTGAAGTGCACTTCCACCCACTGTACCATCTTTCTTTGTACATTGGTGTAACTGTGGGGTGAAATTTGGGCCCCACTGAATTCAAGGACAACACAGGACTTGTCTGTGGTTTTTATCTCTTCCACCTCTCAAGGCTACTAACTTGAAGTACCTGGCCACAGCTGTTGGCTCAGGCTGTGCTTCAAGGACATCATCGATGGGATGGAGAAACTGTGTCCTGTTTGTTCTCCTTTATTGGCCCACAGCTGATGGTGGATGCCCTGACCAAATTTCAGTTCCAGGGGAGAAAATTCAGCCTTCCTAAAGCATTCCTGTGGTTTCTGTTGGGTTCTTCCGTACTTTTCTCCAGAGGTCTGTGTGCTGCAGTCAAATACTGAGAGAAAGGTTGTGTTCCATTCTGGATTATGGCTAGATCTCAGTGGTGGATAAATTGCATCCCGAGTCCAGTCTGCAAAGCCCTTTTGGGCTTTGTGGTATGCAAGAAGCTGTATTTTATTCTAGATGTGTGCTTGCTGATAATTCTATAGGATTTTCAGTGAGCAGGTTGTAAGAGTCCTGATTGTACTGATTCTCTGCGCAGTCAGAATCTTTGCCCAAATAATTCAAAAGCCTGCTGCAGAGAGAGGAGAAGGAAGATGGAAGGAGGATTTAGAAACCTCTGGGTCACTGGAATAGGTGGGAAGATGACACATATGTTGATGTGAAGGAGATACTGAGCCAGGTATATGCCTTTAAGCATCTAAAGACAAGTCAGGATTTTTTAAATGGCTGCCTACTTGAAACCCAAATAGTTTCTTTAATGAGAGTTTTTAAAGGTTTAACTGTTAATTTTAGAATTTTTATTTCAAGCATGCTTCCATAAAATTAACTTTTTCAACGCAGAACGCTTTAATGTCTTCCGTGTTGGTGTTCATTTGCAAGAAATCTATGCGCAATTATTTCTTATGTACCAGTTAAATCTATCAGCCAACAGATGTCAAGTGTAGCAAAAATGCTATAATAATATTATGGTCTAATAATAGTTATAATGATTCTAATTACCTGGCGCGGCTTTTGAGAGAGGCGGACTCAGAAATGAGTGCAAATGGGATGTTTAACCTTGAACTGCAGAAGTAGGGTACATCAGAGGTGTTTGGGCGATGTACCCCTTCTTCCCTATTGGACATTCCCTTTGTTTCCTCTAGGAAACCGGGAGTAATATTCAGGTCTGTTTTAAATCTGCAAACCTCATTCTCAGTACGTTCAGAGGTGGATAAAAGTGCTGGTGAGCTGTAGATGAGCACGTTTCTTAAAATACCCATAAACGTGAAGCCTGGTCATTTTTAACCTCGTGCTGCAGTCTAGGCGCCCCGGTTTCGGCACGCTCCTGCTGCCTGATGATTACAGCACGCACAGATTGCTCTCACCTCAGGAAGGCTGCAGGAGGCTCAGCAATCTTCATCTTTTATGCAAGCTGGCTGTGATGCTTTTAAGTGTCAGGGAGGCTTTGCCACAGCCTGGAAAGCACAAAGCCAGCCTGGATCTGGCTGAGTGCTGGTGGGCACCTTTCACGCTGTCCGCTGATGGGAGAGCGGGTGTGGGGGTGTGCAGGTGAGTGAACGTGAGTTGTTGACCCCGATGGAGGCTTTGGTGTGAGAGGCGAGGAGGGCACAGCAGCCAGCCGCCTCGCTGGTGTGCGAGTGCTGTGCTTTGCCTTCCGCAGTCTGGACCCTCACAGCCTCGTCGGAGTCTCCATCCCTAGTGCAGGGAGGATGCTCTTTCATGTCACTCCCAAGTCCTCTCTACTGCCATATTTTTCCTTTAGGAAGGATCCTGGGCTGCATTTTCTATATTCCAGTGGGTTTTGCCCAACCTTGCTATGTGCTGTGTCACTACAGACGCAGCACATCTTGGTGTGTCGTTATTATTGTAGGACTGATACGGCAATGCATAATGGATCACCCCTTGCCGCAGCTGTTTGCTTTAATTTTGTGATGTGAAGTTGGTGAGGAGTCCTTGATCCATAGCGAAGGATCCTTTCCACAGAGGAAGTCCTGCATAGGCTGGAAGTTGACAGCCTTCAATGATTATGTGCCAGGCTGAGCGTTTTTCCTCTAAATAATAGATTCACATGCTGATGAGAACTCGGCGGGACCTATGGGAATTCGGCTGTCGGTTGCTGATTCCTGGCATAGGCAGCAGCTGTGAATCTTTTACTGTCTTCCTGTAAAATGGATCCAGAGGTGCCCTTGCAAGGTTTTCTTCTTCATTTCCAGCCTGCTCATAGGCCAGCGTACTCCACGTTTCACGAAAGCCCTTCCTGCCAGCGCCGTCGCGCTCGGCGCACGCAGCCCACCTTTCTCCAGGGCTCACGCTGGTGAGAGCTCTGCCATCTTCAGTCTTTCCCTTAAAGGTTTGCCTTCTTGCTGGAGTCGGTACCTCCACTGGTGCATCTCTGTGGAGATGGTGCCGTAGGAGCTGTAGGGTGCAGCCTTTTCCAGGCTCACGTGAAGAAGGATGCGGTAACGGGCTACCCTTGTTTAGGGAAAATGATTTCTCAGAGTAAATAATTTGTCAAAGAACGCTTGGCATCGCCCCAGATGCTATTAAGGAAAAGACAAATCTGGGATCTCTTCAAGCCCGAGCTGGAAGGCTCATGTAATATTCACTTGCTTTTTCACATGCTGCTTTGCTTTGCTCAGCATCAGGCATTGCTGCTATGACTCACTAACCTGCTTGTGCTTTTACTTACCCTAAGACACCAGAGCTCCCTTTGTTTTCTCCTCCTGTAAATATTAGCAGTGTATTTCTCCTCCTGCCACAAGACCACCTTTCTGCATCTCTTCTCACAGCCTGTTGAGAGTCTGGATTTTCACTGCTCTGAGCCAGTTGTAAGGGTTTGCTTCCCTATGACCGGTGCAGCTCTGGCCGGGTTTCCAAAGGACACAAAGGGTGCGTAGGTGCACTGAGCTCTCCTCCCCGGCTTGGCAGACTGCGCCAGCGCATCCCAGACCCTGAATGAGCTCATGCTGAAACCTCCTCGGGGGTTTGGGGACGCTGCCCTTCCTGCTCGCCTGGCGCTGGCATGCTCTTTCTTAGTCTAGTTTCTAGTATGCGGAGAACCATCTCAACAAGGTCTGGAAGAGCCCTCCGGTACCTCTCTGCTTCATTGCTTCCACGTCTCGTTGCAGACTTCATCTGTAAACATCTCTTTGCCCTTGCTAAACACCGTGTCTCTTAATTCCTCTCTGCAAGAGTATTATTTAATTTGTAAATGTTTTAGGATGTTATTTGAAAAATATGATATGAAGCTGTATTTCATTTACTGTAATGATCTGCTAATGCGGGCATATTTCAAAGGCGGGCTATGCAGTACTGTGGGGTTTAATTAAATTTTGTTTTTCAAGTAAGCATCAATAGACAGACAATAACAAATGGTGGACAATATGCATATAGAACAAAGTCACTTCATTTTCTTTATCAAGGCTGTGGAAGTGAAAATGTATAGCCCTTAAAACGTGCTTGGCCTGCTCGCAACTGCTGCTTTAGTGCGGTTACTCACTTTACAGGGATTTTTTTCTTCTTACTCTGACTTAATTAATTTTCTTGGTCTCTTCCTGCCCACAAAATAGACTGTTATGCTATGCAAAATTTTCCTCAGGAGCCTTGGGTGAGCTAGGTTCTGCTGCAAGCGCTGAACTTGGTTTTGAATATTGTGTTGCTTAATGTATTATGGTTTGTAGAGATGGGCCCTCGTGAGGGTTACAAAACCGAAGGGCTGGGTCTGAGGTTCTCCTTCCTTCGCTGGAAAACGCCTGTCGCCGGTGGCTGGCTGTGGTGTGTGCCAGCGCTGGCACAGGGACGTTGCCAGGAGGTAAAAATGATGTTGCATTCGACATTGTTGTCCCCAAATCGGGAATAAGCAAGTGGCTCTTGAGTGCATTTTGTTCCTTTTCTTCCAGCAAGCATGGGGTAATCAAGTACAAAATGTATGCAGAGGAGCTTGGAAAGTCTGTTCGACGTCAGCGGGAGGCGGTTGGAAATCATAATGGCACTCACAAGCGTGGCACTTGTACAAGTTTTCTAGGGGTAAAGAAATTCATCGGTGATGATGTGAGTGGGCTCCTTTGGGTTTGTGCAGAGCGTTGCTTGAGGTGCCCCTCAGTGAGATGGCTGGCTGGAGCATCGTTGAGTTCTGGCTGGTTTCTGGTGGCTAGTGTGGGTTTTGTTCTCAGTGTTTGGGAAATTTTCTGTTGTTTAGAAACACCAGGATTTGCTGAGGGAATCAGTGCAGGTGCTCTGGATTCCCACAGCACTACAGCCCTTTGATTTCTCTCTGAAATCTCTCCAAGTCAGAGAGCTGAAAAGAAGGTAAATTTTTCAGAGGATTTCTCCGTCCTCCATTCAGAGATGTGAGTTCAAGCTGTGTCCTGCATTGATGCCTAAAGCTTTGCTTGCTTAACTTGCCTGCAAATGGATGCCAGGCCGGGGCAGCAGCATGGCTGGGGGCGAGGGCTGGCTGTGCCTGGTGCTGGCTCTGCTCACCGCCGGCTGACCCGGGGTGGGTCACTGTCCAAAGAGCTGTTGGGTGGAAATTGGAGCTTGTAAAGCTGGGAGAGGCTGTGGGAACCTGGCTCTTGACTGGTGTCTCTGCAGCTGTAAGTGCCTGAACAGCATTGCTGTAAATGACAGACTTGTGTCTGCTAACCTCCTCCTCCACGCGATCTCGGTTTAACACTTCCCGCATTTCGGTAACAGCCTGTGTTTTGCTCCTTGCTGGAAAGCAGCACCACGAGTACTTTGCAACTCTCCTGGTGCATGTACTGGCTGATGGTGTTTTCTGCGCTGGATGAGATGCTCGTAGGAAGCAACGATCCTGTCCAAGTAAGGCTGGCAAGATGGTGTCCTGTGCTTGATGCCAGTCCCTGTGGCTGGAGAGGAGTCCTGGTACAGATAAAATGGTGTC